GCTACAAAAATGATCCGGGGGCTGGAGCACCTCTCCTGTGAGGACAGGCTGAGGGAGTTGGGCTTGTTCAGCCTGGAGAAGAGAAGGCTGCGGGGAGACCTGATTGCGGCCTTTCAGTACTTAAAGGGGGCCTATAGGAAAGACGGGGAAAATCTTTTTAGTAGGGCCAGCTGTGACAAGACAAGGGGTAATGGTTTTAAACTAAACCAGGGTAGGTTTAGACTAGATATAAGGAAGAAGTTCTTTACAATGAGGGTGGTGAAACACTGGAATGGGTTGCCCAGAGAGGTGGTGGAGGCCCCATCCCTGGAAACATTCAAGACCAGGTTGGACGGGGCTCTGAGCAGCCTGATCTAGTTAGCGGTGTCCCTGCTCTCTGCAGGGGGGTTGGACTAGATGACCTCTAGGGGTCCCTTCTAACCCAAAACATTCTATGATTCCATGATCTGGGAGCGCCCAGCAGATAGCTCTTCGGCTACAAAACCCCCGCCACCTTCCCCTACAATAAATTAAAAACTCTAGTTGGTTCCTACCTGCATGATTGAAGACAACTCGATTGTCACAACCCTAACTAACGATTAACTCATAGGATCTTTTAGAACATCCTTACAATAACAGATCTTATTTTTGTTTGTCTGGTTTTGCTTTGTTCTGAAAGCGTAAAGCGTTACCCCCGAAATGATAGTATGGTCTTTCAGCAAGGGAAATCTGATGAAGAACAAGACACGTGGCCGGCAGCTCTATATTAAAGAAAAGACGGAAACCCAGTTTTCCAGTATTTAAAAAAAAAAAAAAAAAAAAAAAAAATCTCTAGCAGTCTTTAGTCTCCAGAATTGTGCGGGGTTATCTCATGAATACATAAAGTAGAAACAGAGTCTCCAAATTTAAAAAAAAAAAGTTCATTCTTAATTATCCTAAAGGCTCAGACTTTGTAAGGAAGCTTGAAATGAGTAGATAACGCACAAAAGAACAAAATGAAAGGCAAAAAGGTATAAAGATGAGGGTGACTGAGGAATAAGGAGGATGAAACGAAAGGGAAGGAAAAAAGAACTTAAGAACACTAAAAAAGAAGGGAGAAAGAAGACAATGAAAACAAATGAATCATTGAAACTATGGTGGGAGGAACTGATGAATATTAACTTTTATTATTCTGATTACAAAATACATTTCAAAATTGGATGAAACACATTGTATGTATGTTTTGCCAAGGACATTCTTGGCACTTACAAAGTCAGGAAAATTATAATTCAATCAGTGAGGCATTACTTAAAACCACTTGAAAAAGCAGACCATTTGAACCATCAAACAGGCTGCAGGGGTAAAGATTTTAAAGATTCAATATTCTGCAGCAGCGCAGATCGCACTCGCATGTTGCACAGCAAACCTTCCAATAACGGGGCCATTAGGTAAACAGCCATTTTTCTTCCAAAATGGTTTTTACCAATTTTTCTTCTCATAAACGGCCGATGAAGCCTCTTCTTTTTCCACGTAAAATGAGGGCAGTTCCAGTAAATAAAAAAAAAAAAAAAAAAAAAAAAACACAAGCACTTGTACAGTAAAATTTTTATTTCGCTGTAAAATCTGGTTTTAACTTTTAAAAAACCTGTACTGCCCAAGGCAGCCGGATCACATGTACGAAGACAGCTTCTGTAGTCACCACATGCACGTGGGGCAACTAGCCACGCACCAAACCTATGCGCTCGCCTTGAAAAAGATGCTGCCGTCAGCGCCTCCGACAGCTACGGGCCCAAAAACGCTAGGGCTACGTCACCGTGTTTGTTGTTCTACCAGCAAAACTCGCAGGGAAACAGGTCACCTTGACCTCTCCCGTGTAAACTGTAATTTCACGGAACTGCTAACACCTGAAGAATGGGATCGACTGGGAAAAAAACGCGCAAGGCATTCACCGTTCCCGTTCGGAAAGGCGCACGTCCCCGTGGTCGTGCTTATTGACGCACCGCTGCCATTGCACTCCTAGGTTGGAGCCGTGCAGCCCTCGGGCCTCGC